CTCCTTTATGACCATCACCCACTTACCCCACACCCCCACCCATCTCCCCTCTAGCAACCCTCAGGTTGTTTCCTAGAGTTAAGAGTCTCTTATGGTTTGCCTCCCTCTCTGGTTTTATCTCACTTTATTTTTCCTTCCCTTCTGTGTTCAACTGGTTTGTTTCTTAAATTCCACATATGAGTGAAATCATATGGCATTTGTCTTTCCCTGACTGACTGACTTCACTTAGCATAATACCCTCTAGTTCCATCCACATCATTGCAAATGGCAAGATTTCATTCTTTTTGATGGCTGAGTAATATTCGTGTGTGTTTGTGTGTGTGTGTGTGTGTACCACATCTTTATCTATTCATCTGTCAATGGACATCTGGGCTCTTTTAATATTTTGGCTCTTGTGGACATTGCTGCTATAACTATTGGGGTGCAGGTGCCCCTTCGAATCACTGTTTGTATCCTTTGGATAAATACCTAGCAGTGCAATTGCTGGGTCATATGGTAGTTCTATTTTTAACTTTTTGAGGAACCTCCATACTGTTTTCCAGAGTGGCTGCACCAGTTTGCATTCCCACCAACAGTGTAAGAGGGTCCCCCTTGGGGCGCCTGGGTGGCTCAGTTGGTTAAGCGACTGCCTTCGGCTCAGGTCATGATCCTGGAGTCCTGGGATCGAGTCCCGCATCGGGCTCCCTGCTCAGCAGGGAGTCTGCTTCTCCTTCTGACCCTCCCCCCTTCATGCTCTCTCTCTATCTCATTCTCTCTCTCAAATAAATAAATAAAATCTTTAAAAAAAAAAAAGAGGGTCCCCCTTTCTCTGTATCCTTGCCAACATCTGTTGTTTTCTGAGTTGTTAATTTTAGCCATTCTGACTGGTGTGAGGTGGTATCTCACTGTGGTTTTGATTTGTATTTCCCTGACACAGAGTGATATTGAGCATTTTTTCATGTGTCTGTTAGAGGCCTCCAACTCTTGATCTCAGCTCAGGTCTTGATCTCAGGGTTGTGAGGTCAAGTCCCATACTGGGCTCTGCCCTGGGTGTGGAGCCTACATTAAAAAAAAGAAGAAGAAAGAAAAAAAGAGAAAATGAGAGGATGGAGAAACATCCATCATAAAAATGGATGTCCAAAGAAAGCTGGAGCAGCAATACTTATTTTGGACACTTTAAAACAAAGACTGTAACAAGTGACAAAGAAGGACAATATATAATAATAAGGAGGACAATCCAAGAAGAAGATATAAAACTGTAAATATATATGCACTCAACATAGGAGCACTCAAACACATAAAACAGTTTATAACAATTATAAAGGAATTAATCGATAATAATATAATAGTAGGGGACAACAACAGCCAAATTATAGAAAGAACCTGAATGTCCATCAACTGATGAATGGATAAAGAAAATGTGATATATATATGCAATGGAATATTACTCAGCCATAAAAAAGAATGAAATCTTGCCATTTGCAATGACATGGATAGAGCTAGAGAGTGTTATGCTAAGTGAACTAAGTCAGAGAAAGACAAATACCATACGATTTTACTCATATGTGGAATTTAAGAAACAAAACAAATGAACATAGCGGGGAAAAGAGAGGAAAACCAAGAAACAGACTCTTAGGTATAGAGAACAAACTGATGATTACTGGAAGGGAGGTGGGCTGTGGGGATGAGTTAAATAGTTGATGGATATTACAAAGGGCACTTGTGATGAACACCGGGTGTTGTATGTATGTATGAATCACTAAATTCTACACCTGAAACTAATACTACATTGTATGCTAATTTGAATTTAAATAAAAACTTGGAGAAAAAAAAGATTTAAAAAATAAATTAATTCAATTTCTTATTTTAAAAAGCACTCACCGTGATTAAGTGGGGTTTATTCCTAGGTTGCAAGTGTGGTTCAGCATTTGTAAATCAATCAATGTGATGGTGAGTGAGTGGCCAAGCCTTTAGAGCTTGTCTCTTACTTGGTTGACTGATCACATTGAAACATCACATCAGTAAGGGAAAGGATAAAAAACATATGATCATTTCAATAGATACAGAAAAAGCATTTGACAAAATACAACATCTATTCATGAAAAAAACCCTCAACAAAATAGACTTAGAGGGAACATACCTCAACACAATAAAGATCATCTATGAAAAACCCAGAGCTGGGCACCTGGGTGGCTCAGATGGTTAAGCGTCTGCCTTCGGCTGAGGTCATGATCCTGGGGTCCTGGGATCGGAGTTCCGCATCGGGCTCCCTGCTCTTTGGGGAGCCTGCTTCTCCCTCTGCCTCTACCTCTCTCTGTCTCTATCATGAATAAATAAATAAAATCTTTAAAAAAAGAAAAGAAAAACCCAGAGCTAATATCCTTAATGGGGAAAAACAGAACTTTTCCCCTAAGTCAGGAAAAAGACAAAGATGTCCACTCTTCACCACTTCTATTCAACATAGTACTGGAAGTCCTAGCCACAGCAATCAGACAACAAAAAGAAATCAAAGGAATCCAAACTGGTAGGGAAGAAGTAAAACTTTCACTGTTTGCAGATGACATGATACTATAGAAAACCTGAGAGACTCCACTAAAAAATTGCTAGAACCGATTCATTTCCCAGTTTGATGCAACATGTAGCCTAATGCCCAGTAATTGTCAATGGAATGTGAATGGAAGTGATGTATGTGTACAGGTGAATATGACTACAGGTCTTCCTCGATTTATGATGGGGTTCCATCCTGATATCCATCAAATGTGTTTAGTACACCTACCCACCCCATAACATAGCTGAGCCTGGATTACCTTAAACGTGCTCAGTACACTTACATTAGCCTACAGTTGGGCAAAATCATCAAATACAAAAGACTATTTCATAAAAAAGTGTTGAATCTCTCATGCATTTATTGAATATTGTACTGAAAGTGAAAAACACAATGGTTCTAAGTGTACTGGTGGTTACCCGCGCGATTGCACGGCTGACTGGGAGCTCGACTCGCTACTGCTGCCCAGCATCAGGAGAGAGCATCATACTGCAATATCACTAGCCCAGGAAAAGATCCAAACTCAAAATTCAGAGGCCACCTTCCCCCGAATGCATACTGCTTTCACACCAGTATAAAGTGGAAGAATCCAAAGTTGAACCACTGTAAGCTGGGGGCCATCTCTACTCCCCTTCTCTCCTATTCCTCTTGGCCACTTGGATGATGCCAGGGCACACTTAAAGCAACATACTGGCAACAGAACGCACCCGGATCCCTGAATAAATAGGTGGTACAGAGTACCCCTGCTGACCCACATTAACCATGTCATAAATGAGAAAAAAACTCTTATTCATTTGCTAACTGACCTAGAATTGGGAGTTTATCTTTTACAGCAAGATAGCATTAACTTAGCCTAACTTGTATATCAAAGGAATAGCAAGATCATGCAACTTCCTCAGTCATGAGGCTAGTGAGTGGCCAAGCATTGAGAGCTTGTCTCTTACTCAGTATACCACCTCCCAATCCTAATAAAGATGAAGAGTGCGATGGGGTGGAAAGACAAGGGAAACAACTGGGAGTGCTCCATGACCAACCAAGACTCCAGGAAGGCCACAAAAGAAGCTGCCCATGGAATTTCAGACAGGTGATCCCCTGGCAGTCTGTGAGTTGCCATGAAACCCATTGCCAGGACACCCACCTGCCAGACTCTCAGCCACCTACCTGTGTAGGTGCTTTTGGAGAGGCCTCTCTTCACTGTCCATAGTTCCTGCCCATGTTCCACTAGGTAGGTCAGCTCTGGTTTGGGAACAGGATACCCTGTGCATGAAGAAAGAAATGGGGCATGAGTATGTAGGTAAGGACAAAAGGAAAAGTCTCAAGTATACAGGAGTATACACCTTTCACATGCCACCATGAAACTCCAGAAAGGAAATGACTCCTTCCAGAAGGTGTTCCCTAATGAAGCCAGTAGGATTCCACCTCCCCGTGGATCAGAACTACCTGGAGATGTCTGTTAAACCAAATGTGAGTTAAACCAAATCTCTGGGCATAAGGACAGAACACAGGGAGTCTGTAAAGCTCCCCAGGTGATTCTGGTGCCCAAGGATGGCTAAAAAACACTGGGCTGAATCAACTGTTGAATGGCATCTACCGATAGTTGTCCGAGGTGGGCCTTGACCTAAAGCTGCTACCCATTCTGAAGAAAAAGCCTTTAATCCAAGTTGGGAAGACAGAGCTGAAGGTGGGGACCTGCTGCCCTACTTGCCGCTGTAGCATCCCATGGTGACTTTGAGGATACTGGCCTGATGGCCTGGACCAAGGACAGAAAGTGAACAGACACACCTGGGTTGGCACCTACCAGGCCAGGAGCCAGCATCACTTCAGGGCTTCTCATCAGGCGAAGTCATTACATTTTTCAGGGGTGAAATCAGTATGAGGAGGTTTTCTGGTACATGCACCCAAGCATGTTTTGCCAAATGTGAAAGCTTAAAGACAGGAGGACTCTGGAGAGAATCCAGTGACTAAGGCACCACGACCCACATAAACTCCTAGAAAATCCTATACTGCAGGCCAGAATGCATCCAGTTGTCCTGCAGCAAATGTTCACTGATGTTTGCTAGATGCCTGGAACTGAGCCCCATGATGGGACAGTGTCAAAGTTAAATCAGACCTTCCTTCATCTCTGTCATGGAACTGAGCTCCCTGTCCCCACAGGGACTTGGCTCCTGTTGGTCCCTCCACCTGGAATACTATTCCCCACGCATCTCCTTTCAACAACTAATCACAATGGTCACAAGTTAACACCATTTACTGCATTGATGACTGACCTCCCGGGAGAGACAATGTGGACACAAAGCTGGGAGAGCCCAGGTGACCATGGTGACCATTTGGACATCTGGGAAAAGAGAGACCTCAGGCCTCCATTCAGTTCATATACAGACCAATTTCTGGGTAAATTGGCCATTTAAATTTCGGTGGGAGAATAGTTGGGACTGACTGATTTAGTACATATAATAAGTACATGTGTCATACTTGCTATGTTCCTAGTTCTATTCTAAGCACTTCACCGCTATTAGGTCACATGGACTAAGTGAAAGGTTACTATAAAAATACAATAAAGTCAAAATAACTGTATTAAGTCCCAGGAAGCTCACGCTGCGTCCTCAAGGCTATGTGTCCTACAGCTATTCTTTCTGAAGGGGAAATTAGCTAAGAGACACAGGAGAGCTAAAGATGCAGCACCAAGCCCAGACTCTTCCAGCAACAATCAGAAGGTAGGAAAGAGGAAGGAAAAAGGAAGAACTTTCTTAGATCCCCATCAATGCCATTGATGATGTGTCTGTGCACCCTCTAAAATGATCTCCCTTAGCAGCAGAGAAGCAAGGCATAGGCCTTAGGAAATAAGGGAAAACTGCAGACACCAGGAGCCAAAGAAGCCATTTAGCCGAGATTGTGCTGCTTAGAAATATACCAGTAGCATGATGTCACATATCTTCCTGTCTGTCTGATTCACCCACTTCTTGGAGAACTCACAGGTCCTGCTTACTGGGCTACGAGGACATTTGACCCAACCAAACTGAACCAGTCACCTTACCTATTACGGAGATCTGGAATAAGGACTTCAGACTGAGGACAGCTTTTGCTGGACACTTGGGTAAGAATGTTGGGAATTATGTTTCTTATACAGCAATCCCTATTGTACACAAAGGGATGCCAGTAATAGGTTAGAACAGAATATGCTGAGGTTGTGGAGAGACAAGAAGGTGGGTCCCAGAGGCCTTCTCAATCAGCCATGCTTAGAGAGAAAGGATGGAATGAAAGCCTGTGGGTACCACTCTGGAGAGCATTGAATCCTTACCCAGTGAGACCAGGAGCCCAGAGTCTCCAGCATCACCTCCAGATATAAGGTTCCTTGGGCCAGATCCAGATATCTCCATTCTCAGTGAAGGTCACAGCCATGTCTTTAAATGATACCAGTGCCTGGAAGATGAGATGAGAGCCTAATGCTTGGTCACCAGCAGAAGTCTAGAAAGACCTGAACCTCTGAGTATCTCCTGAGAACCTAGCTCTGTGCTGGGCTCAGGAGGGAGGCAGATGATGCCTCTGACAGAATAAAAGATATGGGAGAGAAAAGCCTCCTGTGTAGGTAGCCGTTGGAGAAAGGTACAAAACAATGATACTCTCGTGTGGGCAGTGAGGAGCGGAGAGTAAGCGCCCTGGGATATTGGAAGAGTGGGGAAAAGTAATTCAAATAATGGGAGCAGCAACAGCAGAGCCTCTCTGGTCTGCACTGTGTGCTTGCATCTGGGGCTTCAGATGCTGTGTTAATGCAACTAAAAGTCTGTAGGTCTGGAGTGGGTTTTTTTTCCAAGTTTTAATTTATATTATAGTTAACATACAGTGTGATATGAGTTTCAGGTGTAGAATTTGGTGATTCATCACTTACATACAACACCCAGTGTTGACCACCACAAGTGCTCTCCTTAATACACATCATCCATTTAACCCATCCCCCCTCCCCTCCCCTCCAGCAACCCTCAGTTTGTTCTCTACAGTTAAGAGTCTGTTTTTTGAAGAAAAACGAAGAGTCTGTGTTCTGGTTTGCCTCTCTCTCTCCTCCCCCATGTTAATCTGTTTTGTTTCTTAAATTCCACATATGAGTGAAATCATATGGTACTTGTCTTCTCTGACTGACTTATTTTACATAATACTCTGTAGCTACATTCACATTGTTGCGAATGGCAAGTTTTCATTCTTTTTTATGGCTGAGTAATATTCCATTGGGGAGATATATATATATATATATAAAGTATCTATCTCACATCTTCTTTATTCATCAATAGATGGGTATTTGGGATCTTTCCTTAATTTGGCTATTGTTGATAATGCTGCTATAAATATCAGGGCACATGTATCCCTTCAAATTAGTATTTCTGTATCCTTTGGGTAAATACCTAGTAGTGCAATTGCTGGATCATAGGGTAGTTCTCTTTCTAACTTTTTGTGGAACCTCCATACTGTTTTCCAGAGTAGCCGCATCAGATTGCATTCCTTCCAACAGTGTAAAGAGGGTTCCCCTTTCTCCACGTTTTACCAACACCTGTTGTTTCCTGTGTTGTTAATTTTAGCCATCTGACAGGTGTGAAGTGACATCTCATTGTAGTTTTGATTTGTGTTTCCCAGATGATGAGTGATGTTGAGCATCTTTTCATGTGAATGTTGGCCATCTGTATGTCTTCTATGGAAAAATGTCTATTCATGCCTTCCCAATTTTTATACGGATTATTTGGTTTTGGGCATTGAGTTTTTTAAGTTCTTTATATATTTTGGATTCTAACTCTTTATTGGATGTGTCATTTGCAAATAACTTTTCCCATTCTGAAGGTTGCCTTTTAGTTTTGGTGATGGATTCCTTCACTGACAGAAGCTTTTTATCTTGATGAAGTACCAACAGTTTATTTTTGCTTTTGTTTCCCTTGCCTCAGGAGATATATCTAGTAAGAAATTGCTATGGCCCATGTCAAAGAGGTTACTGCCTGTGCTCTCCTCTAGGATTTTGCAGGTTTCAGGTCTCAGGTTTAGGTCTTTCATCCATTTTGAGTTTATTTTTGTGTATGCTGTAAGAAAGTGGTCCAGTTTCATTCTTTTGCATGTTGCCGTCCAGTTTTCCCGACACCATTGTTAAAGAGACTGTCTTTTTTCCATTGGATATTCTTTCTGCTTTGTTGAAAATTTGTTGACCATATAGTTGTGGATTCATTTCTGGGTTTTCTTTTCTGTTCCTTCGATCTATGTGTCTGTTTTTGTGTCAGTACCATACTGTCTTGATCACTATAGCTTTGTAATATAACTTGAAGTCCAGAATTGTGATGCCTCCAGCTTTGCTTTTCTTTTTCAGGATTGCTTTGGCTATTCAGGGTCTTTTGTGGTTCCATACAAATTTTAGGATTGTTTGTTCTAACTCTTTAAAAAATGGTGGTGGTATTTTGATAGGGATTGCATTAAGTGGGTAGATTGCTTTGGGTAGCATAGACATTTTAACAATATTTGTTCTTCCAATCCATGAGCATGGAATATTTTTCCATTTCTTTGTGTCATCTTCAATTTCTTTCATAAGTGTCCTATAGTTTTCAGAGTACAAATCTTTTACTTCTTTGGTTAGGTTTATTCCTAGGTATCTTATCATTTTTGGTGCAGTTGTAAATGGGTCAATTCTTTGATTTCTCTTTCTGTTGCTTCATTATTGGTATCGGTACAAGGAGATTTCTGTACATTGATTTTGTATCCTGTGATCTTACTGAATTCACTTGTCAGTTCTAGTAAATTTTTGGTGGAGTCTTTTGGGTTTTCTATATAGAGTATCATGTTGTCTGCAAATAGTGGAAGTTTGATTTCTTCCTTGCCAATCTGGATGCCTTTTATTTCTTTTTGTCGTCCGATTGCTGTGACTAGGACTTTCAGTACTATGTTAAATAACAGTGGTGAGAGTGGACATCCCTGTTTTGTTCCTCACCATACAGGAAAAGCTCTCAGTTTTCCCCCATTGAGAATGATACTAGCTGTGGGTTTTTCATATATGGTCTTTATTATGTTGAGGTATGTTCCCTCTATCCCTACTTTGTTGAGGAGGGTTTTTATCATGAATGGATGTTGTACTTTGTCAAATGCTTTTTCTGCATCTATTGAGAGGATCTTATGGTTCTTTTATTAATGTGGTATATCATATTGGTTGATTTGTGAATATCGAACCACTCTTGCAACCCTGGAATAAATCCCATTTGATTGTGGTGAGTGATTCTCTTAATGTACTGTTGGATTTGATTTGCTAGTATTTTGCTGAGAAGTTTTGCATTCATGTTCATCAGTTGGCCTGTAATTCTCCTTTTTAGTGGGGTCTTTGTCTGGTTTTGGAATCAGTGTAATGCTGGCCTCATAGAATGAATTTGGAAGTTTCCCTTCCATTTCTATTTTTTGGAATAGTTTGAGAAGAAAAGGTACTAACTCTTCTTTAAATCTTTGATAAAATTCTGCTGTGAAGCCATCTGGACCTTGATTTTTGTTTTTTGGGAGATTTTTGATTGCTGATTCAATTCTTTTTTTTTTTTTAAGTTAGGGGTTTATATACCTTTTTAAAAAAATATATTTTTTATTTATTTATTTTTTTAAGATTTTATTTATTTATTTGAGAGAAAGAATGAGAGACAGCACAAGAGGGAAGAGGGTCAGAGGGAGAAGCAGACCCCCTGCTGAGCAGGGAGCCCAATGCGGGACTCGATCCCGGGACTCCAGGATCATGACCTGAGCCGAAGGCAGTCGCTTAACCAACTGAGCCACCCAGGCGCCCTTATTTATTTATTTGACAGAGAGAGATATAGCGAGAGAGTGAACACAAGGAGGGGGAGTGGGAGAGGGAGAAGCAGCCTTCCCGCTGAGCAGGGAGCCCGATTTCGGGCTTGATCCCAGGACCCTGGGATCATGACCTGAGCCGAAGGTGGATGCTTAACAACTGAGCCACCCAGGCGCCCCTACTGATTCAATTCTATACTAGTTATTGGTCTGTTCAAGGTTTCTATTTCTTCCTGTTTCAGTTTTGGTAGTGTATATGTTTCTAGGAATTTATCCATTTCTTCCAGATTGTCTGATATGGTGGCATATAATTTTTCATAATATTCTCCTGTAATTGTTTGTATTTCTGTGGTGTTGGTTGTTATTTCTCCTCCTTCATTTGTGATTTTATTCATTTGGGTCATTTCTCTTTTCTTTTTGATAAGTCTGGCTAGGAGTTTATCAATTTTAGTAATTCTTTCAAAGTATCAGCTCTTAGTTTTGTTGATCTATTCTACTGTTTTTTGTTTCTATATCACTTCTTTCTGCTCTAATCTTTACTATGTCCCTTCTTCTGCTGGCTTAAGCTTCATTTATTGTTCTTTTTCTAGCTCCTTCAGGTGTAAGGTTAGATTGTTTGAGATTTTTCTTGCTTCTTGAGGTAGACCTTTATTGCTATGAACTTCCCTCTTAGGACCACTTTTGCTGCATCCCAAAGGTTTTGGACTGGTGTGTTTTCACTTTCACTTGTTTCCATGTTGTTGTTGTTTTTTTAATTTCTTCTTTAATTTCCTGGTTAACCCATTCATTCTTTAGTAGGATGTTCTTTAACTTCCATGTATTTGTGGTCTTTCCAAATTTTTTCATGTGGTTGACTTCAAGTTTCATAGCATTGTGGTTAGAAAATATGCATGGTATGATCTCAATCTTTTTGTACTTGTTGAGGCCTGATTTGTGACCCAGTATATGATCTATTTTGGAGAATGTTCCATGTGCACTGGAAAAGAATGTATATTCTGCCACTTTAGGCTGAAATGATCTGAATATATCTGTCAAGTCCATCTGGTCCAGTTTGTCATTCAAAGCCATTGTTTCCTTGCTGATTTTCTGCTTAGATGATCTGTCCATTGCTGTCTCCATTGATAATGGAGTTTCTCATTGATAATATGAGTTTCTTTATGTTTGTTATTAATTGTTTTTTATATTTGGGTGTCCCCAAGTTGGGGGCATAATTATTTACAATTGTTAGATTTTCTTGTTGAATAGTCCCCTTTATTATGTTTTAGTGTCTTTCTTCATCTCATTACAGTCTTTAGTTTAAAATCTAGTTTATCTTATATAAGTATTATTGCTCTGGCTTTCCTTTGATGTCCATTTGCATGATAAATGTGTCTTCATCCCCTCACTTTCAATCTTCAGGTGTAACCAGGGACCTTGATCTTCACTGTGTAAACATTCACAAGGTCCAGGGGGCCGCCTATGGGGGCTGTGGGGATGAGGGGCTGATGCTGAGGCTCCGGAAAGGCTAGGGGGCAAACCCCATTACAGGGGTGGGGGTAGGGGGTGGAGGGTGGGAGGTCAAGGCTCATACAAAAGCCTGGAGGTAGGTGTTATCCTCCTCATTGTCCTTTGGCTAGTCTGGAAGACCCTTCTGGGAAGCGGCCTCTGCCCAGAGCTCCAACAAGAAGCACAGCTAAGTCCAGACCTGCCACAACCAAATGAAGTCCTAAGAGAGAAGAAGCCAGAAGCACCGCCCAAGTTGCAGCAGGAAATGCCCCTCTCCACTCTCTGTCATTGGCTGAGTGCCTGCCTCCAATGTCAGAGGCACTGCCTTCTGGGTAATGTAGTTTCTGACTGAATCTTGGTGATGGGGAGCACACTTCCTGTTCTCTGAGCAATGTCTTCTTAAAGTTCGAAAGGCAGGGTGTGGCTTGTAAGAAGTTGAAGGCAGAGCACACAGATTTCCATGCCCTTTAGGCAATGTCCTGCCTCCAAGGTCTCTAACATGTGATCCATACTTTGACATTCCTCCCTGTGTACCCCTGTGGTCTCACTTCACCTCTCTGAGCCGGTATTTAAAATGAAAAAGGAAGGTAATTCTGGAACATGGTAATTTAAAATGCTCCCCAGTAGATGGGGCACCGGGGTACAAGAACACCTGGTGCTAGGGTCCCAAACAGACCAGGTTTGGCCACTTGCTGCTCACAAAATCTAAAGGCAGAAAGACAAGTGGTGGTGAAACAAGAATGGAATTGATTTCTATTCTGCATGAAGCCAAGGACCTTCCTACCTGGTCCTGTGGGACCCCATCTGGATCGTTGGACCCGGCCTGCCTGTATCAATACCACTAAATGGTCCTCTAATTCAGTGGCTCCCAATTTGTGATCTCAGAACCAGCAGCATCAGGATCACTTGGAAACTTGGGAATGCAAATTTCATGCTCCATTCAGATTTAGTGACTTGGAAACACAGTGGGTAAGGTCCAGCACTCTGTGCTACCTCAGGGTATTCAACTGGTTGTAATTAAAATGCAGTGACGAAAATGGGAAAATAGCATAGTTGACCCTTGAACAACATGGATTTGAACTACTTGGGTCCACTTACATCCAGTTGGTTTTTTTTTTTTTTTTGCTTTAACGTTAAAAATATGTTTCTAAAATATCACACAAAAGTTGGGAAGAGAAAGAAGAATGTCAACTAGCCTATATCTAAGCCTGGCTTTGGGGAAGTCGAAAGTTATCCATGAAGGGCCAAAGAGCTGCCTAAAGAACCTGGTGGCTGGGGTGAACTGCAGAGATCAAGAGGGCTTCTTGTCAAGGTAACCAGCAGCCTGGGTCAGGCTGTGCACCACCCAGGTGCAGTGAGGAGAGCAAAGCTACTGGCCCCAATTGTTCCTCCTTTTCGGAGGGGAGAAGCATATCACTAAAGAGTGACATGTTCTTTTTTTTCTTAAAGATTTTATTTATTTATTCGACAGATAGAGAGCACAAGTAGGCAGAGTGGCAGGCAGAAGGAGAGGGAGAAGCAGGCTCTCCACTGAGCAGGGAGCTGGATGTGGGGCTCGATCCCAGGACCCCAGGATCATGACCTAAGCCGAAGGCAGCCGCTTAACCGACTGAGCCACCCAGGTGCCCCAAGAGTGACATGTTCTTGATGGTCTTGTGCTCCTTCATTCTCCCAATCGCTGCCATTGAATCCTTCAACGACCACAGGACACATGGTGCCCTCATCCAGGCAGTGTCAACAATTCTGAAGCTTCAGGGGTGTGAGCAGATCATGTATAAGCTCTGAATGTCACATCTCTTAACAGAAGGTGTGCTGTACAAAATTGCAATTGTGACCCAGCCTAGACGTCCAGCACCTCAGGGGCAGTAGGTCCCATCCTCATCAAGACCCCATCAGCATGACCTGAAACTCTACACCCTAAGGGAGCACTAAATCATGCCCAAGTTGATAACCAAAACCACTCGGTAAGGAGGCAAACTCATGCAGGAGCACAAAAGAGAAAACAGAGTGAAGATAAAACCACACAATCCCATCTGCCCATATTCCATTGGCCATAACTCCTTCACGTGGTTCCAAACTAAGTGTAAGAGAAGCTGGGATGTGCTGTTCTCCTGAGCATCCAGAAAGAGAGAATGGGACTGGGGAGCATCTTGCCAGTTTATAGGACAACCCATCAATGTAGTCCTCAGAGAATCATTTCATTATTCCTCCTATGCATTCAACAGTCTCAGCTGTGGACTTTGCTCTCTGACCTTATGTTACATTGGAATGTTAATCTTGCCAAATAGCAGTTAGGTAATAAACATATCTTTTTTAATGGAAAAATACATACAAAACAAACATTTTTTGTAAGAAAAAATTCCAACTGAAACCAAACCAAATATTAGACATTTTGCTAATTGTCATCCTGCTTTTCTTCAAAAACTCATGTAAAAACATGTCACACTTTTCTACTGAAATAATAAGATAGCATACCACCTTTTTCACACTTTATTTTAGGTTGAATCATATGAAATTGCCATTCATTTAGGTCAAAAACAGTCAAATATCTGCAGTTTCATTTTGCCCAACCTAATAAACTAAGCACTTCCCAATTTGATGATTACTTTAGTTATGATTTTATACCAGTGAATTATTCTATTTTGTTAATAGAATCATCTTTTCCAAAGGTAAGTCAGGTATTTTATTTATTTATTTATTTATTTATTTATTTATTTATTTATTTTAAAGATTTTATTTATTCATTTGACAGAGAGAGACAGTGAGAGCAGCAACACAAGCAGGGGGAGTGGGAGAGGGAGAAGCAGGCTTCCTGGCGACCAAGGAGCCCGATGCGGGACTCAATCCCAGGACCCTGGGATCATGACCTGAGCCGAAGGCAGATGCCCAACGACTGAGCCACCCAGGCGCCCAAGTAAGTCAGATATTTTAAAAGCTTTCAACTATTTTATGCTCAAGCAATGCTAATATGAAAATTCATCTGCATACACATATCATTTTTCTACTTTGGATCTTTTGAATGTCTGCAGATTTAATGTGTAGAAGTTGTGAAATTAACAAGCCTCTGGTTTACTCAATTTACCTCTAAGCAGAAGGTAAATTACAGGCTCTGACTGTATAGTGTTCCCTTAATTATGCCTGCTGATTTTTATTTATTTTTTATTTATTTTTAAAGATTTTATTTATTTATTTGACAGAGACAAACACAGGGAGAGAAGGAACACAAGCAGGGGGAGTGGGAGAGGGAGAAGCAGGCTTCCAGCCGAGCAGGGAGCCCAATGTGGGGCTCAATCCCAGGACCTGGGACCATGACCCGAGCGGAAGGCAGATGCTTAATGACTGAGCCACCAAGGTGCCCCTATGCCTGCTGATTTTTAGACGGCCAGCCTCATCTTCAGTATTTATATATTAAATAGAATATATTTTTTTGTGGTAAAATACACATAAAATTAATCATTTTAAGTATATATGTATTTTTTAAAAATATTTTATTTATTTATTTATTTGAGAGAGAGAGACCACAAGGTGGGGGGTAGGGGCAAAGGGAGAGGGAGAGGGAGAAGCAGACTCCCTGCTGAGCAGGGAGCCTGACGTGGGGCTTGATCCCAGGACTCTGGGATCATGACCTGAGGCGAAGGCAGACACTTCATGTACTGAGCCACCCAGGTGCCCCTTAAGTATATTTAAAGTATACAATTCAGTGACATTTAATACACTCACAGAGTGTGCAGCCATCTAGTTCCAGATTATTTTCATCATCCTAAAGTGAAACCCGGTACCCATTAATCAGTCCTTCCCTATTACTTCTTACCACTCCCTCCACCACCAGCCCTACCTCCTCCTCAGCCCTTGTCAACAAACAATCCATTGTCTGTCTCTCTGGATTTTCCTATAAAATATTTCATACAAATGGAATCACAATATGTGGCCTTTCAGGGTTGGCTCCTTTCATTTAGCATAATGTTTCAGTGTTGATCCATGTGGTAGCATGTATAATTGCTTTAGTCCTTTTTCCACTGTATGAACATACCACCTTTTGTTATCAGCAGTTGATAGATATGTGGGGGTGTTTTGGAATAGTGTTTGTATGAACAGTCATGTATAAATTTTTGTTTGAATGTCTACTTTCAATTGTTTGGGATATATACCTAAGAGTGGAATTATGGAATCATATGGGAATTCTATATTTAACTCACTGAGGTACCAGAAAACCATCAAACTGTTTTATACAGTGGCTGTGCAGTGTTATAGTCCCACTTGCAAACTGTTTCCCACAATGGCTACATCATTAAAAGTTTACATTCTCATCAGGGGTGTGCAAGGGTTCCAATTTCTCCTCATCCTTGCCAGCATTGTTATTTTCAGTTTTGGAATTATACCCACCCTAGTGGGTGCCTTATGGTTTGATTTGTACTTTCCTAATGGCTCATGAAGTTAAGCATATTTTTTGCTTGTTGGCCACTTGTATATCTTCGTTGGAGAAGTACTTATTCTAGTCCTTTGCTTATTCTTTAAATTGGGTTATGTGTATTTTTGTTGTTGAGTTGTAAGCCTTTCTGATACTGAACTCTTATTAGATATATAGTTTACAAGCCAAATTTCTATATTAGATATGACCCCAAAACACAAGCAACAACAACAAAAATAATAGATAAATTTGGTTTTATCAAAATTAAAAATTTTGTGCATCAAAGGGCACTTTCAAAAGAGGAAAGGACAACCAAAGGAATGGAAGAAATATCTATAATTATATATCTGATAAGAGCCCAGTACCCGGAACATATTAAAAATGCTTACAAAATGCATCAGGGAAATGCAAATCAAAACCATGACTAATATACCAGGTTCAAGGTTGAAGATTTACCTGTATGTTTCCTTCTAAGAATTTTGTAGTTTTACCTCATATGTTAAGTCTTTGCTCCATTTAGAGTTGAAAATTTTATATGGACTAAGATAAGGTTCCAACTTTATATTTTTCATGTAGATATCCACTTGTTCCATCACCATTTTTTGAAGAGACTATTCTTTCCCCATGGAATGGTTTTAGCACTTTTGTCAAAAATCAATTGGTCATGGATATATGGGTTCATCCCTGGGCTCTCCTATGTTAATGCCAGTATCACAGTATTTTAGTTACTATAGATTTGTAGTAAGTTTTGAAATCAGAAGTATGACACTGCCAACTTTGTTCTTTCTTTTCTAAGATTGTTTTGGCCATTCTTGGTTCCTTGAATTTCCATATGAATTTGAAAATGAGCTTATTGACTTCTTTTTTCCTCAGGAGTGGGAGGAGCAGAGGGAGAGGGAGAGAATTTTTTTTTTTTAAGATTTATTTATTTATTTTAGAGAGTGTGTGCAAAAGGGGGGAGGGGCAAAGGGAGAGGGAAAGAATCTCATGCAGACTCCCCACTGAGCACAGAGCCCAATGCAGGGCTTGAGATCATAACCTGAGCAGAAACCAAGAGTCGGATGCTTAAGCAACTGAGCCACCCAGGCGTCCCCAGCTTGTTGATTTCTATAAAGAAGCCAGCTGGGATTTTGATAGTTGAATCTGTAGATCAGTTTAAGGAGTATTGGCATCTTAATAATATTGTCACATGAGTGTGGATATCTTTACATTTATGGTCTTCTTTAGTTTCTTTCAGCAATATTTTGTAGCTTTTAGTACATAAACATTGTATATTCTTGGTTAAATTTAATTCTAAGTGTTTTATCCTTTCTGGTGATTTTATAAATGGAATTGTTTTCTTCATTTCCGTTATGAGTTGATCATTGCTAGTGTCAAAATCAGTTGGTTGATGATGGGTTGATTTCTCTTCTTTTGGCAGTGTTAAGATGTTATCCTATTGCATATGGCACTCATGATTTCTGAAGAGAATTGACAGTTGGTCTCATTAAGAATCCCTTCAACATGATGAATCACTCATCTCTTGGCCTGCAAGATTCTCTGTCTTGGGTTTATGGCAATCTCATTATGATGTTACTTGGTGTGGATCTCTTTGAGTTTATCCCACTTGGAGTTTTGCTGACCTTCTTGGTGTATAGATTCCTGTCTCTCATCAAGTTGGGGGAATTTTCAGCCATTTTTCTTCAGACATTCTTTCTGTACCCTTCTCACTCTGTCTTCTCTCCTTCTAGGATTCCCATTATGTGTCTGTTAGTATTCTTCAGGTTGCCTCACAAATCCACTAGGCTCTGTTCATTTTTCTTCATTCCTTTACCTTTCTTCTCCCTAGACGGTTTAATTCCATTTGACTTATCTTTAAGGTCACCAATCATTTCTTCTGTCTTCTCAAATCTGCTGTTGAAGCCCTCTGATGAATTTCTCATTTCTGTTATTGTACATTTTTACTCTGGAATTTCTGTTTGGTTCCTCTTTATGACTTTTATCTCTTTATTGATATTTTACGTTTTGGGTGACATTATTCCTCTGGTATCCTTATGTGCTTAGTCCATGGTTGCCCTTAGTACTTTGAGTGTATTTCAGGGTGTTGATTTAAAAACCTTTGTTTAATAAATTCAGTCCTTGGTCTTCCTCAAGGACACTTTCTGTTTATTTCTTTATTCCTGTGAATGAGCCATACTTGTTTGATTTTTGCATTCCTTGTATTTTTTCATTGATAATGGGACCTTTCAAATGTAGTAACTCTGGAAATCAGATTCTCGGTCCCTACCCTATGGTTTATTGTTGGTTTTGTTGTGGGTTGTAGTTGTATGTTTAGTGACTTTTCTAAATTATTTTTTATAGATGTTATTGTGGGTGGTCACTGAAGTCTCTATTTATTAGCTTAATGGTAAGATAACTATTTGATAGGGACTTCTTAAATGCCTGGAGACAAAGACAAAAATATATTCTTCTATCCTTTACAAATTTGCTCTGAGTTGGACCACTCCTTCACTGATTAGCCAGGCCTTTTACATTTCTGCCTTAGCCTTCATTTCCTTTGTGTGAAGCCTAAAGATCAACCATTGGTGAAAGCTTGGGGACTTTTCAGGTCTTTTCTAAGCATGCACTTTCCCTGGGAATGTACAAGGTCTTCTAGATATCCTGGTATATGTGGGAGCTTTGCAAAGCCCTTATTCCTTCCCATACCCCCTTTTCCAACTTGCTTCTCTCTAGACATTTTGCTCTATCTACTGCATGCAATGTCTGTTATCCCTATCCCCTGGCAGCTGTGGCTAGTATATGCTTTTAGTTATTTTTGGCAAATGTTGCTTGGGAGGCTGTCCAGCCCTGAGAAAATTCCAAGGCTGCCAAAAGAAAGGCAAATAAACCCCTGTGTCAATCCCTCAGAGAGCTGCAGAGTGGCCAAAACACACAACCACAATTCTTTGAGAATGGATCCGTATTGCCTCCTTCTCAGGAAATACTCCCATCCATCTTTGTCAATAGAAGACAAATTGACATCAACGAGAAAATGTTTTATTCCTAAAGTTTCCATTGTCTGAAAGATCCCTATGAAGAAAAGCCAAGACCAGTTGGTTAAGAATATGGTCTGTGGGTCTGAGATTGTCTCTAATGAGCAAATTCATGTTATATAGGAAAAAAAAAAAAAAGAAGAGTGGAGGTTTTCAGGATTCCAACTTTCATCCAAGTGAGATATAGAATCCACATTTCTAAATTGGTCAAATCCATCATATTAATAACTAGGGAATGTAGATTTTAATTGTACTCATTAAAATCTAGAGGAAAATCAAACTATACAAATATCTCCTTTATCCCTTAATACTTACTCACATTTCCCATTTAGAATTAACATTGAAATATGTCCTTAACCATGCAAACGCTTATTCATTGAAGTAATATTTCTAAAGTAAAATAAACTAAAAACCACTGAAATGTTCAATGATGGGATATTTGCTTAATAAACAAAGCATCATTCACACAGTATACTGCTCAGTACAATGGCTTCAAGCCATTATGAAATGAGGAAAAGGGTGGGGAGAGGAGGGGAGAAGAAGAAAAAGATGAAGAACAAAGAGGAAGAGGAGTAGGAGTTGTTAATATGCCCCAGTACAGTCTCGGTGTTTGGCAACTTCTGTTCTAAGGAAGTAGAAAACAATGTGCTTTGGGTGTCAAAAAGAAAACATTTCAAAAGCAAACAAAAATAAAGCTTATATATTGGGGAAGAGTAGGGACATACTGAACATAAAGAAGGGGCACATTTGATGGGCGCCTGGGTGGCTCAGTTGGTTAAGTGACTGCCTTCGGCTCAGGTCATGATCCTGGAGTCCCGGGATCGAGTCCCGCATTGGGCTCTCTGCTCGGCAGGGAGTCTGCTTCTTCCTCTGACCCTCCCCTTCTCATGCTTTCTCTCTCTCTCTCAAATAAATAAAATCTTTAAAAAAAAAAAAAAAAGAAGGGGCACATTTGGAAGATAAACCTTTTGGAATCAGCATGGTTTTACAATTTTTGCCTTGGGATAGTGTAGCAAAACAAAATTCACCTAAAATTAAAACAATTAACCTACAATAAAAGTAAGAATGGGTAATAGGAATATGAAAAAGAATTTTATTTTATTATTTTTTAAAGATTTTATTTATTTATTTGACAGAGAGAGAGAAGGAGAAGGGGGAACAGCAGGCAGACATCATTGTCTGCAGACATCTGTTCCCTTCAGGAAAGGGAGAAGCAGGCTCCCTTCTGAGCAAGGGGCCCAAGCAGGGCTCCATCCCAGGACTCTGGGATCGTGACCTGAGCTGAAGGGTGATTCTTAAATGACTGAGCCACCCAGGCGCCCCTGAAGCATAATTTTAAAATGACAACACATTGGAATAGTATTTTTCCTATACACACAGAAAAATTTTGTGCTTTTATTGTATAAAAGAGAAATGTGATCACATATCCGTAGGAGAATATAGCTGTCAGACAACAAAAGACTGTAGATTGTGACTTCCACTCCAGGATGTAAAAGCTACAAGGAACATTTCTCCTATACTTGGAACAACAAAAAAAGCTTGGTTAGCATCAGATTGATGACTCTTTTTTTTCCCAACCCATCAGAGAGCTATGAGTGCAGAGCAAATAACTGGCCCAAAATTTAAAGAGAGACAGTGACTTAAGAGAGGAAATTTGGACACATGCTCCCCTTGGGTAGATGCAGGAAGGTATCTGGGGTAACCAACCTGGTTTGACCAGACTGTCTTGGTTTTAGCACTGAAATTCCCATGTACTGGAAACACCCATCCCGGGACAAAAGTCCCAGTGTTCAGTGATAGGTACAGAAGTTGGCAGCAAACCCATACATGAGCCAAAAACATATGGGCTGAAAGCAAAACTGTTTTTAATGCCAGGATGCTGGGTATGGCATAGATTATTGGCCATGTGTAGTTGCTGTAGCTGGCCCAGCTCACACCTGAGTGATTTTATGATGAGGCATCATGTATAAATGACACCTTACTTACCCCGATGCCATCTAATGTATATAGTGGATCAGTGAAGCCACAGAAAGTGAAGCAGTTTCCTGATCCACACTGATCCCACCCCATATCAGACATTCTTCTGTCTCAGTTCTTTCCTCTTCTTGCATGTCTGTCCCTGTATTTGTTTCCTATCACTGCTCTAAAAAAAATATTACTACAAATTCATTGGTTGAAAACCACACACACACGATTTATCATCTTGAAGTCTCTGAGCCCTTGAACTTCAGGTCAGAAGTTCAAGGGCTTTGCTGGGTGTTCTGAATAAAAATCCACAGGGACAAACTCAAGGTACTGGCCAGGGCTACAGTATTCATCTGGGGCCCTGAGCCCTCTTCCACAATCACTTTGTTTTTGTTTTCATTTTCAGAATTCATTTCCTGCTCACAGTTTCCATGTGTCCTCCTTGACTTTTAAGCCAGCAACGTGGGTTGAGCCCTTCTCTCTAGCTTTGAATCTCTCTTCCTTTTTACCAACTAGCCAAGGAAACTAATCTGCATTTAAGGGCTCCTGAGATTAGGCTAGATCCAGCCAGATAACCCAGGTTCATCTCATTTGAAGATCAACTGATTAGTAACTTTGCTTACATTTACAAAGTCTCACCTGCCACATATTCAGCATATTCATGGCAGTCACACCCAGAGGCAAAACGTAATGGGTTCCAAAATTCAGTCTACCATGTTCCCTTTTACCTGTAAATTCATTTATATCTAAATATCTATGTCTATGTATAGGTTCTGGAGCAGATTTATATTTTCTTAATAGTAAGCCTGGAATTCTTTTATATGTGAATTTAATAGTTTATCCACACAACTCAGCTAATGAGTATCCTCATGTCACTCTTACAGGCTCTAGATGTTAAAAGCACAGCTGGACTCAAATTATGGTTTGTCTCAGTTCCGCACAATGTCCTTAGTCATAATAGTTTGCTTCTGAATAATTGTGATTTTCCCTGATTTTTGAAACCAAATGAATCATTTTGGGGAAGTTTTCATTTTACTTACTTGTATGGATTTTTCCCTCTACTTCACCTGATAGTCACCTGGAGACTCAAATGCTGGGTCTGTGAGGAATGACTACTGACGTGCGTTTACATCTCACTCCTGTCCCTGATGACAGAGATCTCATTTGGAAGAGACCTGGGATTTAAGCCCAATATCCAGCCTTAATTTTTTAAGTGTCACATTTACATAATTCCTATTATTTCTTGTTTCTCATGCCATAAATCAGGTATTTTCTTAGCTGCGTTATAATTCACACATTTGTGAATGAAAAAGGTTTCCATATGGTGGTTGCACTTGTGTAAGAACACACTTCTATTTGAGATTTGTCCCAATTTGTCTCTTAGAGAAACTCTCAGTATGTGCATTTGTCTGCTAGGGTTGCCATAACAAAGTACCACAGTTTGGACGGCTCAACCAACAGAAATTTATTTTTCTGCAGCGCTGGAGGCTAGAAGTCCAAGATGAAGGTGTTGGTAGGTTTGGTTTCTTTTGAGGTCTCTCTCCCTGGCTTGCAGATAGGCTATGCTGTCAGTGTCCTCACGTGGTTTTCCCTCAGTCTGTGTGGTCTGTGTCTGAATCTCCTCTTCTGATAAGGGCGGCAGTCATATGGATGGGGGTCCACCCACGTGACCTCATTTTACCTTAATTATCTTTGAAAAAGCCTATCTCCAAATACAGCCACATTCTGAGCTAATAGGGGCTAGGGCTTCAACAGATTTTGGGGAAACGCAGTTCAGCCCATAACATTGTGAAATATGGCACATGTATAAGAAATTTAAAACGATGTAGATTTTAATCTTTTTAAAGTTGATACCTACGTAACCACCACTAAAGGCAATACAAAGAATAATAGCAGTGCCCAGAGTCCGGAGAACTCCATCCCAGTCACAACGTGCTCCTGCTCCAAAACCGAGAGGAATTCTAGAACCTGATTGAAAGCCGTATGACCTGACTTGTTGGATAGTTTTCCTATTGTGTCTGAATCCCAAAAATAGAGTGTGGTTGTGGCTGTTACTGAATTTTATAGGAATGGAATCCTAAATTAGGGGCTCCATTTGGTCTTGTTATTGTCTTCAAAATAAACATATAAGATTCACCCATGTCATCCTGTGTATCTGCATATTATCCATTTTCATTGCTGTTGAGCTAATAATGGATCTATCCATTCTGCTGCTGATGCACCTTTGTATTGTTTTCGGCTACTGGTAACATAAGCATGCTGCGGTGAGTTTTTGTCCAAGTATTCTGATACACATAAAATCGACCTTTTTATAGCAGTGGTTTACACACTTAAAAAAACATTCATTGGGAAGACATAAATATGTTTATGTACTTAACTGCAGAACTTTGAAATATATAAGGCAAAAAGCGACCAAACTAAAGGATAATATACAAATTACAATCATACTTGAGGATGTTAACACTTCTTTCTCACTAATTGTTAGAATAAGTAAACAAGAAGCAAATCGGAGTGCAAAAGATTTATCTTGACCTAATGGTATTTGTAAAACACTATATCCAGCATTAGCTGAACACACTTCTTTTTCTTTTCTTTCTTTTTAAAGGACATGGATGAAACATTTATTCTGTCTTGCTTGAATGAACTGTATTTCAGGGTAAGAGGCTGATGTCAGACAGTTCTTTTTTTTTTAATTTAAATTTATTTAATTAACATACTGTATTATTAGCTTCAGGGGTAGAATTTAGTGATTCATCAGTTGCGTACAACACTCATTGCTCATTATTTCAGGTGCCCTCCTTAATGCCCGTCACCCACATACCCCATCCTCCCAACCACGTCCCCCTCCAGCAACCCAGATTGTTTTTATTTATTTTTTATTTTTTATTTTAAAGATTTTATTTATTTATTGGAGAGAGAGAGAGTGAGAGAGAGCATGAGAGGGGAAAGGGTCAGAAGGAGAAGCAGACTCCCCACCGAGCGGGGAGCCTGACACGGGGCTCGATCCCGGGACTCCAGGATCATGACCTGAGCCAAAGGCAGTCGCTTAACCAACTGAGCCACCCAGGCGCCCCCCCAGATTGTTTTTTATAGCTAAGAGTCTATTATTGTTTGCCTCCCTCTTTCTTTTTATCTTCTTTTATTTTTCCTTCCCTTCCCTTATGTTCATGTGTTTTGTTTCTTAAATTCCACATAGCAGTGGAATCATATGGTATTTGTCTTTCTCTGACTTATTTTGCTTAGCATAATACCCTCTAGTTTCATCCACGTCATTGCAAATGGCAAGACTTCATTCTTTTTGAAGGCTGAGTAATATTCCAACATAAATATATAAAAATCACCTCTTCTTTATCCATTCATCTGTCAAGGGACATCTGGGCTCTTTCCATATTTTGGCGATTGTGGACATTGCTGCTTTAAACACTGGGGCACATGTGCTCCTTCAAATCACTATGTTTATATCCTTGGGATAAATACCTAGTAGTGCAATTGCTCGGTAGAACATACTTCTTTTTCAAGTGAACCTGGAAGGTTCATGAGGTAGGCATATATTGGGTCAAAACCTATGTCTTGACAAATTTCCAAAGTGGAGCATATATACAGGGTTTTTTCTCTGAACACAGTGGAATTAAAGCAGAAACCAATAACTAAGATATCTAGAAAATCTGCAAATATTTAGAAAGAAATGAAAACATACTTTCACATAACCAGTGGGTCAAAGAAGGAACAATATAAAATTAGAAATAATTTGAACTGAATGATAACTAAAACAGAGCAAATAAAAAATTTTTTAAAAGATTTTATTTATTTGAGAGAGAGAGAGCACAAGCAGGGGGAGTGGCACGCAGAGGGAGAAGCAGGCTCTCCGCTGAGCAGGGAGTCCAACTCTGGGGCTCCATCCCAAGACCCCAGGATCATGACCTGAGTTGAAAGCTTAACAGACTAAGCCACCCAGGCACCCTAGAGCAAATCTACATTTACAGTATGTGGTTAAAGCAGTGCATAAGGGAATGTTGCATCTTTAAGTGTTTATATTAAAAAATAAGATCTAAAAATAGTGATTTAAGATTCCATCCTAAAAACAGAGAAATGAAAGCAAGTTAAATCCAAAATAGAAATAGATAACAAATATCGGAATGGAAATAGAAAATATACAGCACAGAAAATTACCAAAGCTAAAGTGGGATTTGTAGAAGACTAATACAACCGATAAATGTCTACTAAGATTAATCATGAAATAAAAAGTGACATTTCAAACTATCAGTATCAGGGGAAAGGGGGTATTGCTATAGATTGGAAGACATTCAAAGGATAAGGTGATTATAAACACCTTTTGAGCAAGAAAATTGCAGGTTCAAAGAGTTCTCCTGGTGAATTTCATCCTATATAGAAGATATTTTACCAGCGTTGTACAAACTCTCAGAAAATAGAGGAGGCAGATTCTCTGAATCCATTCTGTGAGGTTAACACTACCTTCATACCAAAATATAAAAATAAATGTACAGATTAATGTACTCATAAACACAGATATGATAATCCTTAACATATTAGGAAATCCCTCCTAACCAAATTTAAAAATGTACTCTAGAATGACCAAGTGGAAATTGCAGCAGGTACCCAAGGTTGGTTTCCTATGGAAAATCAATCAATGCAATTTACCATCTTAAGAGACTAAAGGAGAAAAGCCACCTGCATATCTCAAAGCTGTGGGGGAAGTAATTGATGAAGTTTAACATAGCTTTCAAAAAGCTCTCTCGGTAAAGTAGGAATTGGAGGGAATTTCCTCTTTCCTAAGGCAAAGCAGGGTTAAGTGACCACAAGTGATTCTGCCTTGGGACAGAAGACTTTGAAAGCGGAGCGCATTCTGCACCCATTGGCAGTGCCTCTCGAGGCCTTGATCTGGAGAAGAGCTCTCACCCGCAGCTGTATGGTTTGCCATACAGCTACAACAGATACGTCATGGGCTCATGCTGGCAACTAGTGACCTGTGTCCTACACCTTCTGAGGGGACTGGAGCCCAGTGCGGCCTGTGGGGGCCTTAGGAGTGCCACCAATTCAGACCTGGTAGGCAGCGTGGGATCCTTACAGGGGTGCCATGGTGCTGAGCATCCAGACTAGAAAAATGGTCATCCGTGATCCCTGCATGATGAGGGGGCACCACAGTCAGGTGGTGAGTGCATGAGCTCTGGAATCAGACAGACCAGCTTCAAACCCTGGCTTCACCACCATGTGGGGCCCTCTGGAAGATGCTGAGGGTTCATGCATTTTGTAATCTGTAAAACTGTAAGAAGTGAAGAGCACCTGCCTGCCTGGAAGGGATGTGGTGGGGCACAGCACCTGGCAGGCTAGGCCATTCCATCGGCCCCTACCTCAGAAAACTCGGCAGCCCAGCTGCTGATGCTTGGGACTCACACTTCTCCAGGGCTGTGACAAGGCTGGCCTTGTCTTGCTCCAGGACTAGAACAGACCACAGACGGGTCCCTTGTAAGCGGATTTTCCGGAAACCCAACCTACCAATATGGAGGAAAGGGGGGATGTGAGGGTAAACAGGTGTCGTCCGTGGCGGCTGCCTGGGTGAATCACACCCTGTGTGGCTGGGTCACTCCATGCCCCGCCCCCGTCACCTGCCAGCTGAAGCCATCCGCAGACTCCGGGTGCACCAGTACCCGCAGGAAACAGAGCCCAACCTCATCCTCTCCGTCAGGGTCTCTCTTACACTGACCTAGAGTGAGCCAGGCCCCCAGTCCATCAAGACTTAGGTTGCTCCAGGGCTCGGCTCTGAGCAGGCTCTGCTTCCTCTGCCCCGGGAGAAATGGCGAGCGGACCCAGAGGCACAGGTTGCCTCAGCGACAGCCCTGGGCCAGGTGCCGAGGAGGCTGCAGACCCCGAGCCCCGGTGGTCCCACTTCTGCGGGCAGCCAGCATCAGCAGTCCTGAGCAGTGCCCACATAGTGCGGGGGCACTGCTGGTCCCCAACACCTGCAACCAGGTGCGGAAATCCCAAAGGGACTGGAGAAGGGCCGCTGGCCCCACCCTTTGCCCTCTGGCGCCCTTGCTTCCACCCTTTACTGGCCAGTACTTTTCTGTCGCACATCCAGTGATGAGTCCCCAGCATCAGGCTGAACAGTGCATGGTCTGCCTTGGAAGAGTAGGTAGCTAGAGGCACCTCCAAATTATGTACTACGTTCCCAGGATCACACAGTGAACACACAGCTCTACATGGGCAATTTAAAGCAACCTTCTCCCCTTTCCTGACCCAGCTCCTGTTCCCCAAGCAGCGGTCACCCACCCGTTCATCCGGCCCCGTGTCACTCCTTCACTTCTACCAGTGCCTCGGTTCTCACTGGCCAGCCCATCACTGCCTCCCCGTCCCTTCGCCCGGGGCAGTCAGCACATCTATAGAGGTGACCTCCCAGGGCATTTTGGAATTGGGTGTAACCCACATGGGCTCTGCTCCCCATTCCCAGGCTTTCACTTTCCGGTATCCCTAAGGATCCACTGTGTGTTACCTCCTCATTAACCAGCGATGAGGGAACAGAAGGCAAGCTGAGAACAAAGCAGAAACTGGCACCCTACACCCACCCCCTTCGGGATATATGTGACATTCCTCAGGCACCGCTGGCCGCCTAAAGGAAACAATGGTTGACTGATAGAGATCACAGTCCTGCAGGACAGGAGTCTCCCTCAGTTTCCAAATGTCCTAGTGATTTACAAGGAAGCAGCTTTCTTATCAATGGCCTAACTTCCAAGAGACCCGTAACTCAGTTTCCTGAAGCCCTAACATCACCCTCCCCTCCATAAAATTAAGGGAGGCTGAGGCAGAAGGAAATGTAAATAAAATTGGATTTCTTCTGAACCTGAAGCCCATTGACAAGGACGTGTGATAGGAGGAATGTAACATTCCTCCCGGAAACTCCCAACTGTCTTCATGTTAGTGTCTCATTAGAGGGAAAAAACAACCTTGGTTTGACAATAACCAGGCCCCCAGGATCCTGAGAGACTCTAGCATATGACAGTCCTTCTGGACATCCCCTTTGTCCTTTGTCCTCACCTCCCCAACTCCTGAGTATAATAATCAGCCACTCCTCAAGACCACAGGGCAGCAGCTTTCTGCCCATAGGTCCTGTCCCCGTGCTTTAATAAACCACCATTTTGCACCAAAGACGCCTCAAGAATTCTTTCTTGGTCGTCGTCAGCTCCAGACTCCACCCCACTGAGGCTCACCTATATTCCAAAACTGCATCACCAGGACTGCTCGGTGTGGAACAGCTCCAGTCTCTACCAGCCCACTTCCAGTATAATCGGGAGACCTACCCCAACTCTGAACCTTTGCTTGAGTCCGGGAGCCGTGCTTCAGTCACATGTGGAGTCCCTGATGGGCCGGAGCAGAGTCACTGTCCCTAGTGCCCCTGTCTTTACTAGCCAATCCATCCCTGGTTTTGCAGTTACCTGCTTTCCATCCGCCAGGATGTCAGCCAACTGGGCATCCAAGCCTGCCTTTGACTCTGATGAAATTGATATGGCTCCCAGGCCCCCCTCCCAGGCTCCTCCTGACAGCCCCCCGCTCCCAGCAGCTTTGCTAGCTCTCACCCTGTGGGAGATCTGGCAGTCTCAGGACAAGCTCCAGTCTTAACCTCTGCGGAAGCCCAGGCACCCAGTGCGAGCACGAGTCGGTCAGCTTCTGCATACGTGACACTCCCGTGTTCCACCTTTGGCATCTTGGTCAGCCAGCCATCATCCACGGAACTGGAGCCCTCATCAGGAGGATGCCCAGCACTAGGCGCAGCTCCCCTTTTGCTAACATGACTCCAGACCCATTTCCTTTCAAGGCATCTGCAGCTCCTTTGGGTCATGACCGTTCCGGCGTCAGCATGTCCGCCCCAGGCCCCAGCTCCATGTCTGAAGGACTCAGCTTTAGCACAGGGCCAAGGGGGACACCCAGTACCTCGGCTCGTGTTGGGGGAGGCTGAGACCTGAACTCCAGGGTCCTGCCAGCCGTAGCACCTCTGTTACAATTGGAGACAGCGAGCCTCCCCTGGAGGACACATTCCTTCTTGCCCAAAGTCAGACCGCCCGGAATCCCCAGGCCGAGCACTCTTGTCCCTGTCGGCAGAGAAACCTTCGTTGACAACAGATGTGCCAGAAGACACTTCTGTTCCTCCTTGTGCTCACATCACCTGGAAACCATCCGGCCAAAGCACCCCAGCTGCAGTAAGAGGGGCAACACCCACCTGTGCTTGGAGGTCTGTCTGTTCCCAGCTGCAGTCCGAGCACTCAGGGTCCACTCGTCCAGGGCCCAGTGAGAGTCCCAGTGAGAGTCCCAGTGAGAGGGGCCAGGATGAGAACTATGGTGGAGAATCAGTGTTCTCTTCCCGCGTCTGATCGGTGCCCTCGGGGCCCGTCTGGCCAGAGCCAAGCTCTTCCTATTGGAGAAGCCTGCACCACTGAGAAGAAACACAGGCCTGAAGATGCTGCTCTTCGTGCCTTCGGTCGGATGCCTCAGGGCTACCGGGCCAGGGCACCTCTGTTGCTGTCACAGGGGCTGGCACCACAGTGTGGCTGGAGAAACGCCCGTCCGCGAATCCAGGCAGGGCACGTGGGGTCCGTGAGGGCAGGGCACAGGGAGTGCCGTGGGGGCACACTCGCTGTGTTTGGGCACACTTGTAGTTCCACCGTCATTCAGAGCAGCTGGGGATGCTCGTGGCCAGAGCACATGAGTTGCAGTCAGATGGGACAACGTCACTCTTAGGAAGACACTGGGGGCCTGGCCTTCAGTCGGTCCAATGGGGCCTTCCCGGCCAGGATGCCCCCTTTGCCTTTGTAGGAGCCGACACCACTGAGAAAATACCTGTGCTTCCCGCACTTCTTCACCCCCTCTGACCAGATCACAGGGGCCTCTTCAGCGGGTCCAGCGAGGAGCAGCCTTGCCTTCGGGGCGGCCTTGTCACCTGTCCAGGGATTCCCTGTGGCCACGAGGGTGGGGGCACCCACCCACTGGTTGTCTTCTCCTGCAAGAACTAGGATCTCAGCAACTAGGAAGCAAAAGCCTCCTCTACACATGGCGGCGACCACTGTCCCTCACTCGTGGGTGTGCTTTGCTGGGGA